TTTCCCTACCGCCCAGTTCAGTATATAGATCCAATTGAGAACTGGCAAGAAACTCGATTGAATTACTTTTTTTTAAAAGCCAGTTTATTTACAATGTGTATTTATATAGGTGTCTTATGTCTAACATTAAATGAAAATCAAGTGGATGAACAACTATTGCCATGCACGCTCGTCATTCAAGTAGTCGTTTAGAGAGTAATAGGCTTTGCTCAGTAAATATGATTTAATAGATATTTTGAATTTATTTAAGGGTAATTCCAGTATATCCTTTGGTATCTTATCGTAAATATTTATACCTATTCCCATAAAAGATCTATTGACTTTTTCTAAACGATACTTGGGGACAGCAAATTTGTCTTTAAATCTAATATTAATATTATGAATATTGCTGTTTTTGGAAATAAGTCAAGTCAAGATTTTTATGAATATATAAATTGAAAGGCAACGGTGAGAAAATTTGCCTCTTTGAATTTCTCTCTTTATGAGTCATGACTCTTCATACACTAGATCGCTCAAATGGCACGTTTTTGTAATATAAATATATTTTTAATATCTGCCGCTTTTCCCCATAATAATATTCCATAAGAGAGTAACCTATGAATATAACTAAATTAGACCAATCTAGCACTATCAGTATCAGTGTACTGTCTAACCTTACGCACGGCAAAAGCTGCTGAACTCAGTTTCGCTGCCAGACTTTGAATTTGTGCACCCCATTGTGTTTTATTATCTAATGTGATTCCTAGAAAGACAGTAGATTCTATAAATTCGAACAGATCGCCTGAATGGCACGTTTTTGTAATATAAATATATTTTTAATATCTGCCGCTTTTTCTCATAATAATGTTCCATTCCAGAGAGTAAACTATGAAAATAACACAACGGCAATATGAAAAAAAAATATTAAAGTCGCCATTGCGTCTGATTTCTTATCAAATCAATTGATGTATATTTGATAATTAAAAATGATAGTATAGTATATCGGTTTTGGTATCATTTGTAATGTTATCACATAATTTTACCTAATCGAATATGCCGACATTTACTATATTGTGATAATATGGTAATTATTTTAATATCCATAATTGTATTAATAAACATATATTTATTTATTTATTTACAATACAGTGTTATATTTAACATTATTATATGAGCTGAAACTCTGCTCCCTAAATAGGAAAAATCCTGTACTTTAGTGTAAGCAGTGCTCATTCCCTACAACATTACAGTGACACAGAAAATGTAATATAAATTGTTGACCTATACTAAATTTTACTTAGATACATATAATTTTTCATTATGAACACAACGATATAAGGATGGGTTTGTGTAATTTATTTAATCATATTTTCATGGGAATAATGTTACGTATAATTTGTATGACTTTGCAATTAGTACATGTTTGCAAGATACGTCATGAATATTTTTTAATGTTAGACATAGACCTTTATAAATAATTGTAAATGAACTGACTTTTAAAAAATTGAGTTTTTTGCCAATATAATAATATACTGAACTGGATGGTAATAATATAAAAAAAAATCATGTTCAAAAGCGGCTAAAATGTCCTACATGAATAAAAAGCATAAAGTATTTAAGCAAATTTTAATCATAGTTCAATATTATCTCAAAAGTACTTAAATTTTTCCACCTCGTATCGACCTGTATAGATAATAGTTTCAATTGTTTGATTATGATTACGATCTATTCTGTACTCGCTAGAAATTATTTGGTAACTATTCGCTGTTCGTATCTGCCATTGAAATGATACATTGTATATTATCACGATAGAAGTAATTTTTATTAAAGGATTCAAGATTTGTTATATTTACCATTTCTCCTCTGTCAAAGCACATATCATGAACTGATTATTGCTTTCATACGTGTCGGTTACGTTTATATAATGATTATCTTTAACGATATTTTTCCCATAGAAACACTATAGACCTAACCAGTGTATTCTTCATAAATAAACTTGAATTAAAAACTAAACTTCACTTCATAAATAATATGAAATAAAGGATATTATACCGGTGCTGTAGATATCGATCTTACTCAGTTCCTGGTATTTAATTGAGAGGCTGCGAGACCATCCGTTCCGTTCCTACCAAGATTTCACGCACACACGACACCGTCCTCGCTGGCGAAGACGACGACCTCAATCACACCATATCGCGCAATCAACCGGGCGCTTCTCACCGATGCCCTCCGATCGATACCCCATCCAATTCAAACAGGAATCTAAATTACGAAGGCCAGAGGCGAGGTACAAAATATCAGACGTAAAGTCGTATGTCAGGCACTCCAAACCCGCGGAAGGACTTATGGAGCAGCTGAAGATCAACTCCCGCCTGACGGGTACGAATATAGTCTGAGGGCACCGCTAGGGGTAACTCTCTAACCTCGGTTCAGACCGTCGTAATATCGATCACCGTTTGAAATAGACGGTGAATCATAAGGATGAATATCTCGGTATAGTTTTACTATAAAGGTGCACCTGCTACACGCAGTACCTATCTACATAGTGTAATCGTTATTCATAACGTTGGCCTTGCGGAGTACTATTTGCAACATCTATACATACATTAATCTAAACTAGTTAAGAGGGCATCCACAAATTACTTGAAGTATTTTTTTTTATCTTCTGTCCCTCCCTCCTCACGTTCCTCCCTGGTGAGATGTCGTGAGATTTTATTCAACCCCCGCATCCTCCAATCTTACGTGAGATTTTTCAAAATGTAGGTTCTTACGTAACGGGTTGGATTGTTATTGTAAAAAGTAAAAAAATGATACATGCTTTTATTTACGACTAGTTAAGACTAGCAATCAATATTGCTGATAGTTATAAGTGTAATAAGCATGCACAATCTCGATTAAATGGGCCAAATTAGTATATTTTTTTTGCTACAATTAGAAAAAAAAAATTGCGTGATATTTGCCGAGACCTCCTCTCTCCAACGTAAGATTAGATGAGATTTTACTCGACCCCCTCCCCTCTTAAACATGACGTAATATATGAACGCCCTCTAACTTCGTATGCGGTATGGCTAGATCTGCAGATTTAATAATCGCGATAATTTCATATCTTATTATTTCACTCGTCCTTGTTTTATAAGTGGTTGCTATACCATATTAATTATATTGTTTCACGTTAGTCGTTACTACTACATAGTAGCCGATTAATCGATGGCGTACACAAATATTTCTATGGTTTTACTAAAAAAGTATTTAAATACGAATAAGTGTCTTTCTGATCGAAATTACAGCATGGGCGGGTTGAACCCCTAGCGGTGCCCTCAGACTAAAAGAAAATATACGACATTTTAAGCTTATTTTCAAGCAGATTTAAAATACTCGTCTTGAATAATTGCTATTATTAAGTACTAGCTGTGCCCCTGACTACGTGCGAATGTTTTAGAGTGACCTTGACCAAATAAAGAAATAATATTCATTAACGTAGCCCAAAAAAGACAACGACTTCAAAAATGACGAATTTCCATACCCACTTTCGTCCCCTGTTTATTTTCCTCCTTTAAGGGTAACATTTTTACAAACTTTGAATGTCATATTTATTCATATTCAATCAATAGACTAAAAAATAAGTTTCATTATTCTGGCATTAATAATGACAATGCTTCCATACAATATTTTGTCTCCCTTACAACTCCACTTTCATTGCATTAAAAAGTAGCTTATGTTCTTTTTCCTGGTCTAAACTTACCTTACCTTACCTTAACCGATTAAATAAGGTGCACAATGCACCTTATTTAATCGGTTCAGTAGTTCCGACTTGAAAGCAAAACAGACAGACAGAGTTACTTTCGCATTTATAATATAAGTAAGGATTGATTTTGTGAATGGGCATTGTTTAATCGACGTGGCCTAACATTGTGGCGTATAAACATGAGTTGTCATGTGACATACAAACAAACAATGATCTAATTGACATTGTGCGACACAATTACGTCGTAGGTATAAACAATTAGTAATTAATTTGTTAAGAATTGTTTTCTAAAGGCATGCAGTACTCTCAGCTATATTTTTATATGCAGAAATGATTTTTACAGCGTTATATTCTTTTTTAAATATAATTATAATTTATAAAAAAACTCTCTCTTTCCTAACAATGACAGTTTTCATACGTATAATATTTTTTAAAATCAGCTACGTATAAACTACAATAATACTTAATTTTTGCACTATAGTTTTTAATGTATAAAACATTAAAAACTAAATTAAAATGTTGTTTATTTATGTCTAGTATTAGTTTAGTAAAACACACTAAACTCTTCATACATAAAAATATCTTGCGACGTTCTATGTCCGCGATGGAATCCTAAATTAATGAACCTATTTTGATGAAATTTTATATGTATAAAAGAATAGGTGTTTTTATACCCATTAGTGGCCTCTGTCGAAACCGAAATTCTTTGTTTTTGACATAATTTACGACTATTATTTATTTTATTTTCTTTATGATTGGATATTAAAAAATACATACAATCCTAAATTTACACCCTTTTATCATTAATCCCCATTTTTTAATAGCGATATTAATTTAGATGGCAAAACGTTTGATGGGACAGCTGGTGTTCTATATATTGCTCATTTAGGTTTATATAGCAGTCCAAGATTGTTTCTTTACTGTATCAAAGTTATAATTGGCTATTAATTAGTATGTGCCTATATAGGTATTGAGATTAGATAGTAAAACAACTGAATGAGTATTTAAATTGTTTGTTTATAATAAAATTAGTTTAATGTACTAATACATTTTTGTAATGACGGTAATAATAATAAATCACACATTGTACACACTACACACTCAAGTCTAGTTTCAATGTCACATTAAAAACATATTAATACTAAACTGTTCAACATTAAGTATTACTTCTATTTTAATATAGACTCGGTGACTACGCAATGTGTATCAGTCGGGAAAAATCAAGCGAGACTGAGGCGAAAGGAAAATGTGACCATTAAATTAAAATGAATTTCAGATTCATAAAATGTTCGCTGAAAATAGTTTACGATCTACCAACGTTACCATGGCATGCGATCGGTGACTGGAGCCAAGAAACTTCTTGTGATATTACTTAACTTGTGATATTAACTAAATAATTATCATGTGACTTTATATGACGAAACTTTATGTGTAAAGTAACAAAGTGCCTTAGCTCGTCTAACGTTTAATATTTTTCTAAAACTTTTGTATGAAGCAATAAAGGCACATGCTGTTCAATGGATACCGAAATAAAAGACAATACGAATGTTAAAGTCAAGAAGAACGGACGTAAAAATGAGAAAAAGAAAAAAATGGTTAAGCCAGATACAGACGTGACTGTCGAAGAAGTATGTCGACAGACGGCAAATCTGGCAGAAGAGGAAGACAGTGCCTCTGCTACTTCTACTGATAGCGAAGATTTAGTAAACGCTATCAACTACAACACCATCACATCGTTAGCAGCTTTAAAAGATATAATACAAGGAGACAATAATGATACCCCAGAGACTGATAGTTTTTTTCAACATTACTTTATGAATCATTGTAATAACCTTTCAAGTCGTAATACGACTACAAATTCGCCGTTCCCTTTTCCTGAGAGACGACGATTGTCTCAATGTCGCGAAGAAGACGAAGATGACGAAAAGAAAGACAGTGATAAGAAAGTAGAGGAAAGTCTTTCTGGATCTTCTGAGGACAGGACTGGACTTCCAGCATATAGTGTGAGTGCAATGATAAAAGATAGGATATTGAATGACTATGGAAACGAACAAATTGAGTCTATCGAGAAAAAATTACTTCCTAAGTCTATTCAAGAGCAAGAACCACCGAAGAGAACAGTGATGGGTGCACGTCACAAGTTTCTCGTGACCACAACGGGGCCCACTCCTGCAGAGCCGGTTGAGCGAGCTTTGCGTTCCCAAGCACATACTGCACACACTGTTCATTTTGGAACTAAAGGTGCTGAAGAACAGCGACCGAGTGTAAGATCTATTTTTCAAGGACAGAATCTCCATCGAGCGAAAAATTATTTCGACAGTAGTTTAATAGAAATTAGGTCTACAGTAGATGGCGTACCTGCAAGTGTAGAAGATATTTGGGTTAAAAGAACAGATGAGAAGAATGTAAGTGTCTCGATATATAACACAGGTTCATATAGCCGTCTATAATATGATGTGCTAACTGTAAATTTATAAAAATATTGTATATGTACAATTGTGCATATTTAAATGTTAAACTTAACAAAATGATAATATTTTGAAATATTATTATTTGCAGGAACTTTTACGAGAAGTATTAGGAATAACGTCTGCCGATAACGACAATGGTCACTTACAAGCCAATGAACCTGTTGACGAGAAAAATGAAGCTCCGACTCGGGTGCGCTCTGGGACCTGGGGTTCGCAGGCAACCAGTAAAGAAAAAGAAGTACCGAAGAGTGTACAACCGCGGAAGGAAAAAGAAGTGCAAAGAAGTAACGACGACAGACGGCAGAAGCGAGGTGAGTGATATGTAGTACCTATATAAATATTTATTGTTGATTAATACATTGTTGTAATATGGAGCAAGTATTTATCAGAATTATGGATTGGTGGCGTAGGTCATCGCGCTATAGTTTATATACAAAGATAATCATATAATAGGCATAACAAGATAACCGTCAATTAATTTTTCACTTTCAATTCTTAAACGAGCAGCTTTTGTATGAATATCCACAGTAATATCATTGTTCATATTACTAAACTAAACGTTTGGAAATTTAATTTTAATCGTAAAAATGAAGACTATACTTTCAAGACAGTTTATAGACATATTATCTTCTATTATATCAGAGTGCCCGTCGTTCACCCGCCTGAAATTTATAACCTATATGTTATTCTGATATTTAAGCTATATTAATATAAAGTTTTATTAGAATCTGTTCGTACTCACAAACTTTCGCGTTTATAATATTTATAATATGATATAATATTATGTACTCGTATATTAAAACTAGCTGTAACCCGCGACTAGTCTACTTTTACGTCTAAAATTTCATTATGATCTGTTAAGCCTTGATGAGGTAAAAACAGACAGAAGCTTTCTTATTTATATGATTAACATATAGTAATATATAATAGCTAATTCTATTGCCAAATATACTAAAAGAAATAGATACGGTGTTATATATTGGAAATATAGTTCTAGTGTAGCATAGTTTTACAATATTTGCCTGAGTACGAAGCCGGAAACTCAATCTTCTAATGATGCACTTGTTTTATAAATGCGTAAATACATAAAATATATCTTATATATAAAATTCTCGTGTCACAGTTTTCGTTCCCATACTCCTCCGAAACGGCTTGACCGATTCTTATGAAATTTTGTGAGCGTATTGAGTAGGTCTAATCGAAAGAGAATCGGCCAACATCTATTTTTCATCCCCCTAAATGTTAGGGATAGTCCACTCCTAAATTTTAGTTTATTTTTTAGACAAAATTTTTATTTCCTATTTTTTTATAGCGTTATTAATTTATATGGCAAATCAACGTTTGCTGGGACGGCTAGGTATATATAAAAATAACATATATAAATATGAACTATTTCATATATAAATAATGTAAATATGTATATCTGTGTCATCTATATAAATATATAATAAACACCTAGTGAAACACAACTAGCCCTACGAAAACTTCTGCTGTATCAAATCGCAGCTGAAGTCAATATGTTAATAAGAAAGAAGAATATCAGTGAAACAAATAAAATTAAAAAAATATAGTATATTTGCCAGAGAGTACGAGTATGTATGTATTATTTGAGTCTTGTTTGCGAGATCTGGCGACTTGCCAACGTATCTAGACTTAAGGGTGGATACACTGTTGATCTATCGGGATAAAATTTATTTTGATTACCACTACATTTGACGGGCCACCTGACGGAAAGTGTTTACAGGTGAGCAGGTCTGATCATGAACTGGTCCATAAATATCGCAGATACAACATATGTTGAAATTGTAAATTTTATCTATAAGCATATTATAAAATTGTGGAATCACCTTCTAATAATCAGGGCCGGATTTCACCTATTAGAGCCCCTGGACACATCAGGATAATGGGGCCCCTATGACTATAGTAATACAGCACTATTTTGTTAGAATAGACAAAGTCGTTTTTGAACAGGACTCTTCAAAGATGTAGATGTATGGAGATGCCCTACCTTCAAAACAAAACAGGCAAAAATAATTTTAAAAGTCGTTATGTGATGAGGGATTGAAATTCTTGCTAGACATTTATAAAAAAAAAACGAACAAATTGACCATTAATGGAGTAGGGACTAGACTGGACTAGGGGGCCCCGATCTATCGCGAGGAGCCCTGGGCACGTGCCCAGTGGGGAAGAGGGGGCTGGCAACAATGGTATTTCTGAACCGATATGGTATTGGAATATTCAAGAAAAGAGCTTATTCTCTCTTAAAATGCCGGCAACACATTTGTAATCTACCAAATTTCATTTAAATCGGTTCAGTAGTTTTGGCGTGAATACGAGACGGACAGAGTTACTTTAGTGTAAATTCTAAAGTATATTAGTAAGGATAGTAAGGAAGTAAGGATTAAGTATGCGTGTGATATATCTGTTATATTCTCATAATTTAAGTATTTATTCAATAAGTTAGAAACATAATTTCTTAAAGAAAATCAACAACAACAACTTTACTTAACATTACGTTTGTATTAATATTTGTAAAAATAACTGTGAATTGGCATTCACGCAGTCTAAAACCGTAGCACATTATAATAAAGTAGTTTTTGGAGCAGTTAAAAAATGTCCGAAATAAAACAATTCGAGTTGTTTATCACCGTTTAGTAAATTGGATATATAATACAGGATTTCGTTATTTGAAAACATTGACTACATTAGAGCAGTATCTATTATGTTTAATTATAAAAATTGAAATAATTATTAATGATAATTACAATGGGAATAATAAATTAATTACTTAAAATGGTTTTACAATAGATTTTGTGCTGAATGGTATAGGATATACTTATGGTTAATTATAATATAACAATATACAACGGATGATTATAAGCAGTGATGTTATGGATATGAAATTTCGGTTACGGATAGGTTTCGGATATAGGAACGATTATTATACCGGATACGAATGGGAATATGAAATTATTTCGGATTATCCGTTAGTTTCAGATAATTTCGGTTACGGATATTAATATTTTGAGGAATTTTAAAAGTAAAATATAAATAACTAATACAATGGTTACATAATGTGTCCTTAATTTGGGTGCGCCCCTATCCGATATTATCCGACACTTATTTCGGATTCGGTTACGGTTACGGATATTTTTTCATATCAGATATCGGATTGATTCGGTTACGGTTACAAAATAAATGACTTAAATAAAAGCCGTTTGAGAGGAGTATGGTAACTAACATTGTGACACGAGAATTTTATATATAAATCTTATATATAAAATTCTACATTAAATACTACATTAAAATTATTTCTGAACTTCCAATATTTCGAAGGTTTTAAATGCATTCTGGTTACGAGATCTGGATGTAAATAATTCTTTTGATAGAATAGAATAGAAAATTATTTATTCAAATAAACTTAATTTAAGCACTTTTGAATAGTCAACATTTTTTTTAAATCTACCGCTTATTCGGAAAGCTGTCTCATCACAAGAAGAATAAGCAAAAGATATTTCTAAAGACCGAATAATTCTTACTACCGGCCATATACTACTAGCTATACCTGCGACTTAGTCCGCGTGGAATATAACGTTATTTTCCTAAAATAAAAGTAGCCTAAGTTACTCCTTATTACATCAGCTATGTGTTAGTAATGGTCCCGATGGCCAGAAATTTCATATACAAATACATATTCATGTAATATCATTAAGATTAAGATTACTACTAGATATATAATTAGGTCGTAACATATTATACCTATAGTTGTAATTTACTCACTGCAGTTTACTTCAATGGAAGAACCAGTTTAGTACAGTACAGTTTACAAACAAACAGTCAATGGAATCTCCCATTTTTAGATTAGTAAAGTGTGCAGCACATAACTCAGCACACAAAGTCTGTTTATGACGTGATAAGAAATGATACGTCGATGCAGCAGTACATGATTTCTATTCCTTTTTCCAATTACACTCCACATGAATTGCGTCGTTGTATTCCATTGGGCTCTTTAAAATATGATCGAGAGCAGTGATGGCTGGCTCATCCGTCATACTCGTAAACGATTGCTGCTTGTAGGGACTGGTCTGCTCTTATCACTACAACTGATTTAATCTTATTGTCTATTTATATTTGACCCTAATAAATTACTGCTGGTTGGTAGTTTGTATTCACACGTCTCGACTTGTAAATGTAAACTTACAAGGATTAATTAAATGAGCAACACACAAGTTTCTTGCTCGTTCTTCTTGTGATGAGACTTTCCGAACGTGCGATTGAAAAATGATTATCAAAAGTGCTTAAATTAAGTTTATTTGAATAAATTATTTTCTATTCTATTCTAGAATAATAGATAGGACATCGTTGATTTACAAATTTGCATCGTGATCTAATATTAAGATGAATAGAACTAGCAATGGAATGACCACAATCCAATTGCATTAACGCTTGCTGATGCACAAACGATGGTGATTTTAATTAATCTGCAATAGGTATGAATGTACTAGAGGAATCTGACTGTATGTAATGCATAATGCATAACGTTTCTACGCTCAAATATGTTTCCATTGCTATTCGCGATTGATCCGTTGACGATACTTCTAAAAACTTGAAAGTAACGTATTTAATTATTGTAGAAGGGTTGTGTAAATGTATAAGAACGACTTAAAAAGCTTTATGCTTCGTTTGTTATAAGCAAATATACTTTAATTCTATTCAGTCAATGTTTAAAGAGACTTTAAAAGGCTAGGAAACCTGATATTCATATTCTTAGGGGATACAGACAATCTGATAGTTAGGGTCTTGCGAAATTCTCACGGAGATTGCCGCGGGTGAAGCCGTGGAAAAAATGTTATTTGGGTTACTATTTGTTGCTAAATACTTAAAGAAAGATAGTAGTCGTAGTCTATCAAAAAATATTGCACGAAGATTTGTTATGCCGTTTATTAAATAAGATTTGTTGAAATTAGTGACCTATGACAACTAAGATTTATGAAATTACTAGACTAGCTGTATCCGCGTGGAATTTAACTTTATTTTTCTAAAATAAAAGTAGCCTAAGTTACTCCTTATTACATCAGCTAATAAAAGTCCCGTCAAGAGTCAAATGTAAAAATAAAAAAAGTCAAAGTCGGTCCATCCGTTTCAGAGATTAGCTGGAACAAAAAGACATAGACAGAGAGACATAAATTGTAAAAAAATGATATTTTGGTGTATGTACCGTATTTATAAGCAAGTAGTACAAAACGGTTATTTCAATATTACAAACAGACACTCAAATTTTATTTATTTGTATATATTATACATACACGTA